TGGGGATTCCATAATCTGCCCGCCGCAGTGTCTATACCGAGACACTGCATAGGAGTTCGTAGCTTACTGACTCGTCATGATCACAATTGTGTTGGGACTACATTTATTTTTGAATACTACTTTTTTCTATTCAGCGGAAGTGACGTATTAGGGCATTTTGGCCATTGGCAAGGAGGATTGGCTCCCAGGATCGAAACTCGATATTTTCCAACAATGAAAACGTCGAAATGTCGTTATTTTCTGAAATTAAAACCGACTATAAATTCAAAATAAACAGTTCAAAAGATTCGAACCAATATCTCGATCGTTTCTTGTGAGTTTTGGAATTTTTCGTTTGGAAATAAGACCAAAATTCACGATTTAAATGTTGAAGTGAACAAAATGGCGGCTGTTTGAATTCGAATTTTGTATTACGACATACCCATATATGGGACAGAATATCGGTGGTGCACTCTGGGAGCCAATCCTCCTTGGGCCATTGGATAATCACATTTATGCGTGCGCGCGCAGCTCATCCACTGAACGAAACGCCACTACCCGCTGAAATCACTGGGTATTGATCTTTCCCTTGCTTGAATCAATCAAATACTCATTTTTGACCTCCTAGACGAGTGTTTAAACATTGTAGTGAAAAAAATGAGAACCGATTAAAGGGGTGTCACTTGCGGGTCCAGGGGGGGGGGCTTGGATAGGCCCAGAGAAGGAAATGGGCCCAAACATTTTGTAGGGCCTCAATTATTAGGCCTTTTTAGGCCAAATTGTCACAAAATGGGCCTCAAATTTTCTAAATTGATTTAGGGGCCCAAACATTTTTTTCCTATAGATTTGAAATTTGTCCCCCAACCCCTTGTTAGCTTCTGGATCCCCCAGTGGGTGTCCCCGAAATATATTCAAGGGTGAGTGTCGAATTTCGTATACGCAATATAAAGAAGGTTAATTATTTAACTACTTTTGCACAAATACTAACAAATGAATAATTAAGGATTAAAAGGATGGACGAATGATTGATATAAGAAATATATTTTACTATTGCGTTCCCACGTCTCAGATAGAGGCCGTGGTTTGAAACTGAGATCACGTGTTTTGCGTAGCAGATTTGAATAGGCATTTAGTTGTAGGATAAAAAAAATTCCTTCGTGTATATTTCTCATGATTTAATCTTTTATTTATTCATATTATATTTTTGGTCCTTCTCTTTTTCACTGATTTTTCATTACTTATCGAAATATTTGCAAATAGTGGGCAATTAGTGTTATTTCACTGATGAAACTTTTAGAACTGATTAAAGGCCCCATGTAAAGTTTAAACCACTTTGGCTTATATTGTAGTCTTACCCAATGTTATCAAAGTGTGATATGTGAAACTTTTTTTTTAAATTTCAAAAAGTGGTTTTTCATAGACTTTTTGTTCCAAAATTTGTGAATTTATTTAAAACTAACTTTTAGAGGTCACTCATATCTTCTAATTAGCCACAATTATACCAATGCATAGCATTCATCCTCCCATGTTTTTTGCCGAAAAAATTAAGAAAATCGGTTGATAAACAAGCGAGAAATGAACTTATCAGTGCATGAAAATGGTTCTGAGAAAAATGCATTTCAAAATTTTAGTTCTCATAGAAACCAATGGTACAATGATATCTAAAACATAATGTATTCTTCCTTTTAACCTGGTTAGACAATCAACATTGTTTTTTTTATGAAAGTCTAGCATATTTAGAAAAGATGGACATCGAAAAAAAAAATTCAATTTTTTTCAAAAAGTTTTTGTTACCTTAGTGACATCACTAATGTTTCAAAATATTTTTGATAAGCTAAAACATTGAAGTGGCCCATTAAATATGACATTTTATTATTGAAATAGTGTGTCTTTTGTTCAATCTTTGCATTGGTGATAAAAAGATAATCTTTTTTGAAATGCATTAAGAAATATTTGATGATTAAGAAATTTCAACTTTTTTTGAAAAATGGCGGGAAATTTGAATATTTGAGAAATGAAATGCTCACAACTTTTTTTCAAAAATCTTTTTGGGTTCAAAAATCTCTAAAATCACTTTTTAAGTCCTGACAAACAGTAAATGAATGATAAAAAAATATTTTCAAACTTTAGACGGGGACTTTAAGTAATGAAAATCCGTTAAATTAGCACTATTTCACCACTCATCATGATATAGGTGTTGATTTAGAACTTTTAGATGATGGATTACCCATTTAGGCGTCTAGTAATCCTACACAGCATTTCTCGCATTAGGTGCATTTAATAAAGGTATGAACTGATATCAAATTAAATAGAATGTACTACGCACAAACTGCGCCTTTAATGAGGTCATAAAGATCTAATATTAGTATCAAAACTATAATAACGTGATAATTAGAGGGTATACATTTACTCCTACGTAGAGGCTTTACTAATAGTACTAACCAAAAGTTTCAAAAAGGCCTTATATGGACATGGCGGATTAAGCCCCATGTTAAGTCAATGCATACCCTAGGTATGGTCCCACTTTGATGAAAAAGTCCCTAGAACTGGGTCTAGTCTACTTTTTGAAAAATCCTAAAAAATCGCCGGAAGTGGGTCTTTTTTGAATTACCTTAAAGTCACAGGCTGGTATCGAAATATTTGTCCGCTGTGACGGAGCATGCTATTTTTCATAAAAACACTAAGAATGCTTCACGATTTATTTTGTAACTCATATGTTTCCTTATATCAAAGATAATTACTTTCTCCGTGCAATGGATATATCATTTGAGTGTAACCTTCACTTCTGTTTGAAGTCCAATAACGCTAGGAGTAAAATCTATTGAAAACGGCGCCAGAGTATCAAACTCTAAAATGTACCATTTCTTTTTTAACTTTTTAATGGCATGATATAGTGACACGATAATATTAACATATGTTTTCAGCATAAATCTGAATGTATTAATGAGATATTAATGCATTTGGGTCTTTTTAATTTTTTTTATAAAAAATAATATTAATATTTTTTGTCCGCTGTGACGGAGCATTTTCACAGTTCACATTTCCAACTGCTCCGTCACAGCGGACAAATAAAATAAACATTATTTTTTATAAAAGAATTTAAAAGACAAAATACATCAATATCTCATTTATACCTTCATAGTTATGCCGATACCATGTGTAAATATTATCGTGTCACTATATCATGCCATTAGAAAGTTAAACAAGAAATGGTACATTTTGACGTATGATACTCCGGCGCCATTTTCAATAGCTTTTCTTCCCAGCGTAATTGGACTTCAAACAGAAGTGAAAGTTACCCGCAAATGATATATCCATTGCATGGAGTAAGTAATTTTGTATGGTATAACGAAACATATGAGTTAAAAAATAAATCGTGAAGTATTCCTAATGTTTTTATGAAAAATAGCATGCTCCGTCACAGCGGACAAATATTTCGATACCAGCCTGTGAAAGTGGGTCTATCTTTGAAAGAAAAAACTACGTGTGGATTCCACTTTTAGAGAATAAAACCCTAGATGTGGGTAGATATTTTGAATCACAGCGGAACCCCCCTGCACAAAAATTTGAACAGTACCCCCACACCTCCCCCGGGAGTATTGCCAGAATCCATTTTCAATAGTAAGAATTAAAATGTGGGTTCTCAAACAGTACATTGGGCTTCCTTTTAGAACTTTTTACTGGTACTAAAATACACAGATATTGGCCAGATCGTTTTGTAGTAGGATCTCATAGGCTCAAAGAATAATTATTGAGGTACAGATATTACTACAAAAGAATCTGGCCGGAATCTATATGCTAAAATAGGCTGAATGAGCATCTAGAATTATATCCATAAGGACTACGAATAGATGGCAGGAGAAGTCAGTCACCTTACCCACCTCATTCCGTGATCATAGATATCTGCTTTCTTTTGGCGTGGCTAGGATTTCTTAAGGAGGGGGGGGGGGGGCTGGGTGCATTGAGGAATTTCTTCTATCTGTCTATCAGTCATAGATCCCGGTCAGACTCTTTTGTAGTAGGCTAGGACCAGTAGCTCAATAAATTGTCCTCAAGATGAAACACCAAAAAGAAATGTGGGTAATTTTAGAATGACTATTGTGCAGCCATTTCTGAAAAATATGAGACAAATTATACCTCATTGGAAGCGTCTTGTTATTCTTTAACTTTTTATCACTACTGAACGTTATTCAAAAGTCAGATTACTGCGTCCATAGGTTATTTACTCGAACCAAACAAGTAGAAATAGAAAGATGAAGCTCTCTGCTATAAATTAAGTGCAAAATCTGTCACGGGGCAGCAGGTGCCATTTTGTATAAGGAACGTTTTGAAAGGTGGTCACTTTTTTATATTTTCCAATTTGGCGTCTCATCTTCTGAATTATTCTTTGACCCTATGAGATCCTACTGCAAAACGATCTGGCCAACATCTATGCTATAAATGAGGTAATTTTTTGTCAGTGACTACTGTACGACGAAATAATTTTACTATTTCAAAACCTGATTTTACCCACTCATTTTCTGAAATGAATAACCCAGAATAAACTTTTCTCCCCTGGTGTGATGGGTATTAGGCCTTTATATATTGAGTAAATGTTAATCCTCATGCTGGAGATTTTAAAGGCATGTATATGATTATAATTGGCACATTATTACACATTATAGAAAAAATATATAGTTCAAAATCAAAATACAAGGGGAGAAAAGTTTATTATGGGTTATTCATTTCGGAAAATGAGTGGAGATTATACAACCATTGTTATACCAACCAACCAAGTTTATAATCTCGAGGATTGAAAATTATTTCGAAGTGGTCTAGGTCGCATTTTCACACTACCCTACCACGTGACCACATTTAAAAAAGGATACAGGGTACAGTTAAGTTGCAAATGGAGCGGGTATTCTCTATATTTGTCCATTGGGCTTTTCTGGTAATAATACGTTCCAAACTGCTCTATGAATCTATAAAATGTATAGTAGAACACTTGGAATATATTTAAAATCTAGTATAACGTCAGAACTATGGAAATAAACAAACGTCCTCCATTTGCAACTTCGCTGTCGCCTGTATTTCTTTTAAAGGAATACAGGATACAGTATGGGGGTATAGTAGTGTGTTTTTGTACATGCTTTTTTGACCGCGGGCAAAATTTTAATCCTAAAATTAGCTAGATCGCGGTTTTACCACAACAGTATGTGCAAAATCCCACTGTGTAAAACAATTGAATGATACACAACCGTATCAATTTCACTAGCACCGCGGTCGAAAAGCATTTTCAAAAATACAGCCCTAGATAAAAAAAAATCATCCAAGTAAACAATTGGATTAATTTAAGTACATGTAAGTTATAACCAGAGGGGGAGAAACACCAGGGTTCAAAGATGACATACGCTTATAATGTAAATCTGTATTGAGATGACATTGTCGCTGATTGGTCAAAAGTCGACAAACAAATGATGTCATCAATGGCGGTTTCAAAATTTTCGAAATACTCTTCGAATAATATTATGTTCATTTCTGGCGTGTTAACCAATATCATAGCTTCTCATTTCACACCAAGATAAAGAAAGGTGTACGGAACATGCCTATATCAATTAAAACATCCCATCGAAGTGCAGTATTTGATAAATAGCCGATGAAAATTCAAACGAACGAAGGTGGTAAGCAAGAGACGTAAGTATGTCTGTCATCTTAAAAACTCTGGGGCTTCCCCTCCTCTTAGTTATACCCTAATACTTAGGTCACATATGCTCCGATCCATCGGCCGGCGCCCGGCCGATTGAGTGTTTTGTTCAATATTGTATTCAATTTTGAACAAAATACTCTATCGGCCGGGCGCCGTAGTGAAAATCGGAGCAAATTTGACCACGGCATAACTTCTGACCAATAGCTAAATAAACTGAGATAAATACCCGACACTCATGAGCAAGGAAAAATATTATAGTAAGGACTTCTGAGTAATTTTATATATATCAATGACGAGTGACTTCTGAGCCCAAGAATATCGGTGACTACTGTAGAGATAACAGAGCAGTTTCTGATACCCAAGACATCTGAATAACAGCAAAGGAGACCGACTTCGTGATTTTTCATCATCACAAAATACCATCATTTCCTAAAACGTAAGCATAATGCTGTATAGTCAAAACAGTAATGTTTGTGACTACTTTGAATTTAAAAAATAAGCAAACAAATGACCATATTGAAACAGTTTATGTAAAAATAGAAACATTTATATTTATCCTAACTTTTGTATATTTCAGATAGCAATGTATAATGTGCAGCGAAGCTGTGGCCTTATGTAATTTAGGGAGTTTCAGCTAGTCTATATCCAGTAGACTGAATTTCCTGAGAATTCAGTGTATTGATCATTATGTCTCTCCTGTGGGAAAAAACAGGAAATTTCCTGCACACAATTATCAATTTAAGGAAACTTCACTTCCAAAAAATAAGCATTATAACAATTCAATTAAGGTGCTATGGAAGTTAATAGGAAATGACAAAACAGGAAGTGACAATTTTTTTTGCATTTTTTGACACTTTTTGAACAAAGATAACAGAGTTCTGTTTTGACCTCCAGTCAATTCAACTTGTTCCAAATACCATTTACAGGTCAAGGATCACAATGTTCATGGTCAGAATGACCCTAAACATGATGAAATAACATTTTCAGCCCTATGAAAATGTGACTGAAAAATAGCTAAAAGTAGGAGGTAGGAAAGGTCACTGAACAGAATTTTTTGAATTTTTCAGAAAATGTGCCTAATATATTGCTCTTAATGATACAATCTTTGAAATTTTAATATCATTTATAGAAAAAGAAAAAAGATGAAAAAAATGATTTGAAAAGCGATCTATTTTCCTTTTTATGACCGCCATTTTCGTTTCAGACAATTTTCAAAGATTGTATCATTTAGGGCATTATATTGGGCACATTTTTTGAAAAATTCAAAAGATTCTGTTCGGTGACCTTCCCTTAGCTCCTACTTTTAGCTTTTTTCAGTCACACTTTCAAAGGGCTGAAAAGGTTATTTCATCATGTTTAGGGTCATTCTGACCATGCACATTGTGATCCTGGTCATGTAAATGATATGTGGAAATAGTTAAATTGACTGGAGGTCAAACCAGAACTCTGTTATCTTTGTTCAAAAAATATCTAAAAATGCAAAAAATGTTGTCACTTCCTGTTTTGTCATTTCCTGTTAACTTCCATAGCACCTTAAGTAGTAAGGTACAATTAAATGCTATAAAAAGTAACACAGCATATTGTCAAATGGAAATAAAGCTAGGAGAAGTAACAAATATGCAAATTGATTTACCCAGTCGGCCATTTTGAATGGCACTTCCTATGTAAACAAATAATTTTCAATCCCATATATTAACATATGTGGGCTATAGTCTGAATATTTTCATTCCAAATTTCAAAAATATTTCAGACTAGAGGATATAGTCTAGAGTTTCAGCCATGTTATTTTTTCCGAAAATAACATGGCAGAGAAGTATCAAAATATAAGAGGACACAGATATGATAGCAAAACTACAAAACAAACTAAAATATGCAAAAGTTAGGATAAATATAACTGTTTCTATTTTTACAGTGCTGATATATGATAATATAGGGTGCGTTTTGAAACTAAACAGAGTGCTCCTACCAAAATGAATTTGCCTACATACCCCTGAGACTCTTATCTGATAGATAGCACGATGCCCATGTCAAGCAGCGTGCCTACTGCTACTAGGCACGCAATTTGAAACTCTGACAAACTGCGCGCATATTTCAAAATGTGAGACGAGGAGGACACGACTCCCAAAAAGAGCCAAAATACGAAAAATACAAGGTTAGTCTCGTTCTAAAGATAGTACCATTCTGTGAAGATGAACTTAATTTACTCAAAGTACTCAATGTTTTTCCCGATGTAAACCTAGTTATCTCAATATAAGGGTCTTAAGTAACTTCTGTGTTCAAAATTTACAGTGTAAAGTTATATCTATGTCTTTTTATCGTCATTTGCCGTTTATTCAGCCATTGTGTCTGTGTATGCTAGAATATATAGGATCCCTCCATCTGATTAAATCAGCAAAGTTTGTGTTCAAAACGATAATACGCCATGCATAAACGTGATTTAAACATTTTTCTTGTCAAACTGCGCGCCTATATTCACATGTATTTCCCAAACTGCGTGCCTAATATTTCCAAACTGCTTGCTTATCCAAGCTTGTTTTGTATTATTAGAAAACATAAGCGTCATACAAGGCACATAAATGTGTCTAATAGTAGAACCCCATAATTGAAAAATATAGAAATATTACCCAAATTAAACTATGAATATTCAAAAGAGGACATTTAAATCTACAAGATGAAAAGATAACAAATTGGTCTGAAGCAGGGATAATGCTCAAAAAGACCGATTCAATATAAATACAAGTCTCGATTTTGGAAAAGAAGTTCATCAGTGTACTGCGCTAATATTTTTTTGCGAAAAATCTAGAAATATTACCCAAATTAAATTATGACTATTCAAAAGAAGACATTCAAATCTTTATTATGTAAAAAAATCAAATTTGTCCGAAGCAGGGATAATGCTCATTTAGATTGATGAACTTCGTTCTCCAAACCGAGAATCGTCCTTTCCAAAGCTACATGAAAAACACCTACACGTGCCTCTGTAGAAATTCCAATGATAATATGTAGTTTTAATAGTGTATGCGCACAGTTTGTAATTTCTGGCTAAAATAGGCGCGCAGTTTGTGAATTATTTCTTTTTAATCTCCTGATTATCTGTTTTATCTCGAAATATTTTGAATTATACATGATAAATGTGTAAGGAATTAAATATAAAACGAGTCTAAAGTATTTGTCATTTATGTTTAAAGTGCTAGATCGATTTACGTATATACATTCCCGTTAAATCAGTGACGAAAATGCCATTAATCTGCTTATGTTTTAAAACTTAGATTCATTTGCACATAGTTTTTGCTAGTATTTGCAAGATTCGTATATTCGCCACAGAATGAACGCATTGAACAAGAAAACAATGCAGGATAAATGTCTTTAAATTACGTTTCAAAATACAGACTCCAACTTAAATGATGCAATGTTCTTAGGCACGCAGTTTGTGATCGAAACAAACTGCGCGCCTAAGTAGGCGCGCAGCTTGACATGGGCATCGTGGATAGAATGCACAAACAAAACAAAAGTTTTGCTATAATAGGTAAAAAGTTCTCTTGAAATTTCGAAGTGATTTTACCTGTTAATTCTGTCCATGATCCCCCATTTTTGCGGACGTTTCACTGAAACGCAAACTCCATGGAACGAAACGAAATCACTAGAAAAAACATGGCCCACATTGCGCGCATGTGCAGCAAAGTTTAAACCAATCAGATTATTTGATTATTTTGCGCACATGAATTATTTGCTTCTGAACACTTAGAAGCTTAACACAATAAACAAACCTGGCAGAGACTACCCTTAGCCTACTTCATTTTGGCGAAATTTCAGCTCAAACTCGTGACAAATGCATTATGCATACGCTGGTGTGAAGCCTTGGATACACTCATTTTGGTAAATATGATTTATGGTGTATACTTTTCTGCAGTCTGTGGGAGTTTGGGATATCAAATGTTAAAATTCAAGAAAATATGCCAATTAAACGACTGATCAATTAATATATACCAGCACTGTACATAAACGCTTTCAATATGGTCATTTGATTGCTTATTTTTTAAATTCAAAGTAGTCACAAACATTTCTGTTTTGACTGTAAGCATATGTCATTGAAACAACATGAACTTGCAATCAATGAACGATGTGAGAAAGGAACCATATTAAGGTACAGCTGGAAAGTAACATTTTGGTAAAAAATTGCTTTACATGCACATGTTATTTTCTGGGACACTATAAAGTATGGAGGCATGTGTTAATTTCCTTGTTTTTTTCAGGAAAGTAACATTACATTGTCTTCTTTGGGTATATCTGGTAAGATGTCCATGGGAACTCCAGGAAATTCTGATATTTCACACTTTCTACTTTTCCAAATTTTCTTTCAACGTTTCCAGACAACACAGGAGCTACCATTGACCTGTTCCATGTTTACTTAAAGTAGACAATGTAATGATACTTTCCTGAAAAAAGCAAGGAAATATACACATGCCTTCATACTTAATTTTCTACCAGAAAATAACATGTGCAGGTATAGCAATTTATACCAAAATGTTACTTTTCAGCTGAACCTTAAGGTACTATGGAAGTTAACAGGAAATGACAAAACAGGAAGTGACAACATTTTTTGCATTTTTAGACATTTTTTGAACAAATATAACAGAGTTCTGGTTTGACCTCCAGTCAATTTAACTATTTCCACATATCATTTACATGACCAGGGTCACAATGTTCATAGTCAGAATGACCCTTAACATGATGAAATAACCTTTTCAGCCCTATGAAAATGTGACTGAAAAATAGCTAAAAGTAGGAGGTAGGAAAGGTCACTAAACAGAATCTTTTGAATTTTTCAGAAAATGTGCCCAATATATTGCTCTAAATGATACAATCTTTGAAAATTTAATATCATTCATAGAAAAAGAAAACAAATGAAAAAACTGATTTGAAATGCGATCTATTTTCCTTTTTATGACCGCCATTGTTGTTTAAGACAATTTTCTAAAATTTCAAAGATTGCATCAGTTAGAGCATTATATTGGGCACATTTTCTGAAAAATTCAAAAGATTCTGTTCAGTGACCTTCCCTAGCTCCTACTTTTAGCTTTTTTTCAGTCACACTTTCAAAGGGCTAAAACGGTGAAGTTACACATATTTCAGTCAAATTCATGCTGAGCACAACATTTTGGTTTCAATTTAATAATCTCTATACATGACCCTGGTGATGAAGAGTCAGAATCAGTCAAAAAACCTAAACCGAAAAACTGTGCTCATTGTGAAAACTAAGTGAAGCAACTTTTTTTCTGATATTTCTTACATCAAATGGCAGCCATCTTGTTTTCCCCCTTCAAATTAAACTGGCGGGAAATTCAAAAATTTGAAAAAGTTTTTATCCTTAAATATATTTCAAAAATATGATTTTCTTTTAAATTCTTCATGGGTCTAAAGTTATTTCTTCTTTGTATGTCATATTTGTTGCCATTGGTGTTTTTTCTATGATAATGACTATTTTTTAAGATAGTTATTCTGACTCTCAGCAGGGGGTTAATTATGCATCAAAACTCGTGAAAAAGTAAATATACTTATCAAATATAACTAGGACAATAATAAAAACCATATTTCACATACATTTGACTGAGGGACCAAAAGGGCATATATCCAGACACATCCTTTTTTGTCACTTCCTGTTTTGTCATTTCCTGTTAACTTCCATAGCACCTTAAGGTGCCATGATATTTTTAGACATTTTTTAAACAAAGATAACAGAGTTCTGTTTGACCTCCAGTCAATTCAACTAGTTCCACATACCATTTACAGGTTCAGGATCACAATGTTCATGGTCAGAATGACCCTAAACATGATGAATAACCTTTTCAGTCCTTTGAAAATGTGACTGAAAAATAGCTAAAAGTAGGAGCTAGGGAAGGTCACTGAACAGAATCTTTTGAATTTTGCAGAAAATGTGCCCAACATAATGCTCTTACTGATACAATCTTTGAAATTTTAGAAAATTGTCTTAAACAAAGATTGTATCATTTAGAGCAATATATTGGGCACAATATTTGAAAAATTCAAAAGACTCTGTTCAGTGACGGGTTTGTGTAAAAAACCGGGTGACCGGGTAATCGGGTATTCGGGTGACCGGGTACTTAATGTTCCTAGCAGGGTTAGGAATTTTTTTATTTAAAACGTTGGATCTGGACGATACATGTACGTTATTTTCGACGTCACGTTTTGAGGTTATTTCACATCGTAAGAACGTTTTGACAACGTTAATTTTTAACGTTAAAATAACGTCGGTAATGAACCGATTTAGTGAGAACATATTGACGTCTTTGTAACGTTTCCTTAACTCACAAATATTTTGAATCCATTTCCACAATGTTGAAATTCAACCATCCATCGACGTTTTGCTGAATATTTAAATAACGTCAGATCAATACGGTCCATGAACGTCATTATTGACGTCACGTTTTGAGGTTATTTCAAATCGAAAAAACTTTCGACAACGTTAAATTTTAACGTTAACAATACGTCGGAAATGAACCGAGTTAGTGAGAACACAAAGTTTTTGTCATGTTTTTTTCCACCAACAAATATTTTGATATTAAAAGCCTGTTTTGACAACGTTGAATTTTAACGTTTGAGTTACGTCACATATGTACCAATGTAGTAAAAAATCAAACGTTCCTGTTTGTTATGTTTTTCACACTAACGAACTTTACGGACACGTTACAACAGCGTTCTTTTTATACCTCGATGTGTAAGGAACGAAAATGTGCAACGTCTTCTAGGAACTTATATGCTACTTATGAGTAACGTGACATGGACGTCACTGTTTGCTGGATCGATTATTTTAAAAAGTGCTCTGTCTCGTATAGGGTAAAAATATCGAACAGCAGTGCACTCGGTAGGTCTGCACTCGGTAAGTCTGTCAAGTCAATTCGCTACTATATATCGGGGGAAATGTGAAACTTTGAAAGTTGGTAACCCTGCTAGGAACGTTAGGCACCCGGTCGACCGGGTACCCGGTTACCCAAGTGACCTTTCCTACCTCCTACTTTTAGCTATTTTTCAGTCACATTTTCAGAGGGCTATAAAAGTTACGTTTAGGGTCATCTGACCATGACATTGTGATCCTGGACCTATAAATGGTATGTGGAACGAGTTGAATTGACTGGAGGTCAAAACAGAACTCTGTTATCTTTCTCCAAAAAATGTCTAAAAATGCAATTTTTTGTCACTTCCTGTTTTGTCATTTCCTGTTAAGTATCATGGCACCTTAAGGTAAGACTGCATGTTTGGAAATTTGCTGCAATCCTCAATTGATTCACACGATACTTTTCAAATAGAAATCACTCCTTCTCCACATTGTCTACATCTTCAGTTTGGCACAAAGAGTGTCCTTATGTGCTTAGAAAAGACTATGGAAGAAGTTTTGTAAAATGTATAATAAAAAGGAGAAAATTCCGTGATAAATTCAGTGACCTGAATTTTCTCGTTTTCTACACATTTTACAAAACAAATTTTCTCACCAGTCTTTTTAGGTCCATTAGTGCACTAGTCTTTATGCAAAGCTGAAAGATGTAGACAAACGCGAAGGAGTGATTCCTATTTGAAAAATAACACGTGGCTCAATTGAGGAATGCAGCAAAATTCCGAACATGCATACTTACCTTAAGACGTAGTGATGAACCGATGGCAACAAAAGATGGAGCAAAGCAGGATTGTAATATCTGTCATAGAGCATGTTCGTACAAATCTGCTCTTGAGCAACACAAAACTCATACTGAAGAAAGTGATTTCAAATGTGATATTTGTTTGAAGACATTTAGCCAACTTTCATCTTTTAAGGCAATCTAAGATCAATGCTGGAGCGAAAATGTTCAAGTGTGATGTTTGTTCAAAGACATTTAACCCAAAACATTCCCTTTTGACTCATTCTAAGATCCATTCTGGAGAGAGGGATTTCAAGTGCGATGTTTGTTTAAAGACATTTATCACAGCTCATAATCTGAACCAACATTATAAAGTTCACACTGGAGAGAGGAATTTCAAGTGCGATGTTTGTTTTAAGACATTTATCACAATGTCTAACCTGATTACACATAGGAAAATTCATACTGGGGAGAGGAATTTCAAATGTCAAGTTTGTTTGAAGACATTTTACCGAAAATCTAATCTTGTGACCCATTCTAAGATCCATACTGGAGAGAAGACTTTCAAATGTGATGTATGTTTAAAGACATTTATCACAGCTCATAATCTGAACCAACATTATAAAATTCACACTGGAGAGAGGGATTTCAAGTGCGATATTTGTTTAAGGACATTTATCACAATCTCTAACCTGATTACACATAGGAAAATTCATACTGGGGAGAGGAATTTCAAATGTCAAGTTTGTTTGAAGACATTTTACCGAAAATCTCATCTTGTGACCCATTCTAAGATCCATACTGGAGAGAGAACTTTCAAATGTGATGTATGTTTAAAGGCATTTATCACAGCTCATAATCTGAACCAACATTATAAAGTTCACACTGGAGAGAGGGATTTCAAGTGTGATGTTTGTTTAAAGACATTTATCACATCCTCTGACCTGAACAAACAGTGTAAAATTCATACTGGAGAGAGGAAGTTCCAATGTGATGTATGTTTAAAGACATTTATCACAGCTTATCATCTGAACCGACATTATGAAGTTCACACTGGAGAGAGGGATTTCAAATGTGACGTTTGTTTGAAGACATTTACCACAGGCTCTGAAATTAAAAGACATTATAAGATCCATACTGGAGAGAAAACTTTGAAATGTGCTATTTGTTTGAAGACTTTTAGCAAAAAAGATTCCCTTGCAAAACATTCTAAGATCCATACTGGTGAGAGGGATTTCAAGTGTGATGTTTGTTTGAAGACATTTATCACATCATCTCATCTCAAAGAACATTGTAAAATTCATACTGGAGAAAGAATTTTCAAATGTACTGTTTGTTTGAAGACATTCATCAGAGCCTTTCAGCTGACCAGACATTTTAAAATTCATACTGGAGAAAGGGTTTTCAAATGCGATGATTGTTTAAGGACATTTATCACAGGCTCTCAGCTGAAACAACATTGTAAAATCCATACCGGAGAGAGAAATTTCAAATGTGATGTATGTTTGAAGACATTTATTAGAGCCTCTGAACTGAACAGACATTGTAAAATCCATACTGGGGAGAGAAATTTCAAATGTGATGTATGTTTGAAGACATTTATTAGAGCCTCTGAACTGAACCGACATTGTAAAATCCATACCGGGGAGAGAAATTTCAAATGTGATGTTTGTTTGAAGACATTTATTATAGCCTCTGAACTGAACCGACATTGTAAAATTCATTCTGGGGAGAGAAATTTCAAATGTAATGTATGTTTGAAGACATTTATTAGAGCCTCTGAACTGAACAGACATTGTAAAATCCATACTGGGGAGAGAAATTTCAAATGTGATGTATGTTTGAAGACATTTATTAGAGCCTCTGAACTGAACCGACATTGTAAAATCCATACCGGGGAGAGAAATTTCAAATGTGATGTTTGTTTGAAGACATTTATTATAGCCTCTGAACTGAACCGACATTGTAAAATCCACACTGGAGAGATAAATAAATGATAAATATGATGTTCTTCAAAAACATGTGAAATGAAAAAACATTGTATAATATATGCGGTGCAATCTAATATCTATACTGTAGTGAAAAATCCAAATGTGATATTTGTTTGAAGACATTTGGCTGGACATGCAGAAATTTGATCACTCATGAGATTCTAAGATCCACACTGGGAGAGGAATTTCAAACGTGATTGTTGTTTGAAGACATTTATTTAAATCGACTTGTAAAATCCCTTCTGGAGAGTATTCCAAATCTGTTTTTGTTTTGTGAAAAGACATTTAACACAGCCTCTCAAATGAATAGACATTGTAAAATTCATATTGGAGAGAGACATTTTAAATGCAACTGGTAGCCTACATATTTTCAAATTTTTTTTGCTGTTCCTTCACAACATTTGTGCCTACTACATGTAGCTCAAAATTGCAGAAAAACAACTGCGGGATTGTAGACAGGATAGCTGGGAACGAGTTGCTCTGTTGTCTTTAATCTATTATAATATGCACGCAATAGATACAACAAACTGGCCAATTGGTGTAGCATATATATGGTGTAATCTCGTATGGTGTAATATATGTATTATATGTGAGGTGTAAAAATACAGAAATACAGAACGTGTTCATAACATCAAAACATGTGTATTCTTCTTGAAATAGCAAAATCTACAATTTATATACTTTATTATCATATTTTGCCAGTCCTTGTATGATTCATCCTTATCAGGGATCATTATCTCAGCTCATATGGAATAAATTGAAATACTCTTGGACTAAGGATGGATACAATTACGTCTGCAAAAACATTTCAAAGGAACAATGTACACAGATCAATAGGTTGTCAACGTAGTTTAATTTCACTGCATATATATTCGGGACCTCGGTCGGAATTCGAAAGGATGAGTCTGGGAATGAGTCTGGGTATCGACTTAGAAAATACTGAAAATTGTAATGTCTGAAAAACTAACTCAATCACACATATTATTAAACTTCAATATCTTATCCTTCTTCTGAGATTACAAAAATATCAATTTATATCACAATTGATGAAGAATATTGGCATCAAAGACCGTGCATATCACTTTGTCAGAATTGAAAAAAAATCAATGGCAAATATGGCAAATATTAAATGAATTATTTATGCAAAAAGTTTGAAACATATCTTCCAAAACATTGGTTACTTTCTTTGTATAGACATTGAATGGTATTTCTGGATAAGTGAATTGGTGTTTATCTGGGTAATCAAGGGATTATAGCCACTCAAAGTTACTGAGCATCCAGTTTTGAGACTTCAATTGTGTTGGTGATGTTACGCATATTTCAGTCAAAAAGATGCTGAGCACAACATTTTGGTTTCAATTTTATAATCTCTATACATGACCCTGGTGATGAAGAGTCAGAATCAGTCGAAAAACCTAAACCGGAAAACTGTGCTCATTGTGAAAACTAAAAGTGAGGCAACTTTTTTTCTGATATTTCTTACATCAAATGGCAACCATCTTGTTTTTCCCCCTTCAAATTAAACTGCCGGGAAATTCAAAAATTTGAAATATATTTCAAAAATATGATTTTCTCTTTAATTCTTCATGGGTCTTAAGTTATTTCTTCTTAGTATGTCATACATGTTGCCATTGGTGTTTTTTTCTCTGATAATGACTATTTTTTGTTTGTTAAGATACTTATTCTGACTCTCAGCAGGGGGTTAATTATGCATCAAAACTCGTGAAAAAGTAAATATACTTATCAAATATAGTAATAAAAACTTATTAATAATAAGTAATAAAAAAATATTTCACATACTTTTGACTGAGGGACCAAAATGGCATATACCCGGACACATCCTTTATCATCGTAAAAGTCATAACACACATTAATTCCAGCTAGGCAATTTTTCAAAATGTCTTGACAAGAATTTGATATTATACGAGACATTACACGGATAACCTCTTTCTCGTGATTTAATTCAGATTATGTGTTTTTAAGTTAATTCTGAAACGCCCACATATTTCTCTCTCCGAACTTTTATAATCTGGTTCATGACCACTTCAGGATGTGATTCAGTATGAGAGAGGCGTTTAACCACTTCGTAACTGTGCCTGACAAAAGACCGTCCGTTGAAATTTAATATATCGCTAATGTTTCCTTTCTATTTAACAGTTCCCATTACATCATGCCTCACACTTATACGATGCCTTTGTCCGCAAGTTCAGCTCTTACCCTGGCGAGATAATCGGGATCAGGATAGCCAAATTGTGTTCTGAAAGAAGCAATTATACTCGTGCGCAGTTCAGTAATAAACAAATAATTACAATGTATATGATGAAATATCAGAGTTTAGACCATAAATAAATGAGTCATGGATTTTCTGAAGCGAAGATCTCCCATGTTAAAATAAAAGAATTTTCAAAATGCTATGCATCAGTGTATGCAAAATGTCCTATCAAAAAAGAGTAAAGAGAACATAGAAACCTCTACCAGTACCCTTAGAATAAAAACTGCATACTGTATGTAGCTTTCTTTTAAAGAAGCAGTATCATACCATTGGAAAGCACATTTTCAGTTTGGTAGATCTGACAAATTAAACCTAAAGTGTAGTACTATCTAGTAGGTGTCATGTTAGCCTTGATCTTGAATTATTACCTAGAAGGTCATAATATAGAAATCAAGATAAGTAAAGGAGACCGACTTGGGCAAGGCTAGTGTCATGAAAAGCGAGATTAAACTGATTATATTGAATTTTAGTACGCAGTATAGCTCCAAATTGGTTCAACCACTGGGAAGATGACACTAATGGATAATGGAATGAAGATACATACGGTCCTCCATATATCTTTGTCTTGTGGTGGATATTCCACGTTACCACGTCATCAGAACCACGTGTTCTTGATTGACCAATGGTGAAAATCAGACGTGCATCAAAGGCTTTCTTTAAAAGTGCAAGGATCTCCTTTCCCTCCTTGTTATCTGGCAGATAAGCTGTCCAGATGACTCCACGATAATTCTTTCCCGGGGATGGGTGAATAGGCTGAAACAAAAGCATACAATAGATCATACAATAACATCGCGATATATATCAACTTCAATATGAAAGAGATACTTGTTTGTTTAAAGACTTTTATCACATCCTCTGACCCGACCAGACATTGTAAAATTCATACTGGAGAGAGGAAGTCTAAATGTGATATTTGTTTAAAAACATTTATCACTGTCTTTCGGCTATAACAACATTCTAAAATTCATACCGGAGAGAGGGATTTCAAATGTGAGGTTTGTTTGAAGACATTTACCACAGGCTCTGAAATTAAAAGACATTATAAGATCCATACTGGAGAGAAAACTTTGAAATGTGCTATTTGTTTGAAGACTTTTAGCAAAAAAGATTCCCTTGCAAAACATTCTAAGATCCATACTGGTGAGAGGGATTTCAAGTGTGATGTTTGTTTGAAGACATTTATCACAGCATCTCATCTCAACGAACATTGTAAAATCCATACTGGAGAAAGAATTTTCAAATGTACAGTTTGTTTGAAGACATTTATCAGAGCATTTCACCTGACCAGACATTTTAAAATTCATACTGGAGAGAGAAATTTCAAATGTGATGTATGTTTGAAAACATTTATTAGAGCCTCTGAGCTGAAGCGACATTGTAAAATTCATACTGGGGAGAGAAATTTCAAATGTGATGTATGTTTGAAGACATTTATCAGAGCCTCTGAACTGAACCGACATTGTAAAATCCATACCGGGGAGAGAAATTTCAAATGTGATGTTTGTTTGAAGACATTTATTATAGCCTCTGAACTGAACCGACATTGTAAAATTCATTCTGGGGAGAGAAATTTCAAATGTAATGTATGTTTGAAGACATATAGCCGAAAATCTTCCCTTGTGTGCCATTCTAAAATCCACACTGAAGAGATAAATAAATGATAAATATGATGTTCTTCAAAAACATGTGAAATGAAAAAACATTGTATAATATATGCGGTGCAATCTAATATCTATACTGTGGTGAAAAATCCAAATGTGATATTTGTTTGAAGACATTTGGCTGGACATGCAGAAATTTGATCACTCATGAGATTCTAAGATCCACACTGGGAGAGGAATTTCAAACGTGATTGTTGTTTGAAGACATTTATTTAAATCGACTTGTAAAATCCCTTCTGGAGAGTATTCCAAATCTGTTTTTGTTTTGTGAAAAGACATTTAACACAGCCTCTCAAATGAATAGACATTGTAAAATTCATATTGGAGAGAGACATTTTAAATGCAACTGGTAGCCCACATATTTTCAAATTTTTTTTGCTGTTCCTTCACAACATTTGTGCCTACTACATGTAGCTCAAAATTGCAGAAAAACAACTGCGGGATTGTAGACAGGATAGCTGGGAACGAGTTGCTCTGTTGTCTTTAATTGATTATAATATGCACGCAATAGATACAACAAACTGGCCAATTGGTGTAGCATATATATGGTGTAATCTCGTATGGTGTAATATATGTATTATATGTGAGGTGTAAAAATACAGAAATACAGAACGTGTTCATAACATCAAAACATGTGTATTCTTCTTGAAGTAGCAAAATCTACAATGTATATACTTTATTATCATATTTTGCCAGTCCTTGTATGATTCATCCTTATCGGACATCATTATCGGACATCATTATCACAGCTCATATGGAATAAATTGAAATACTCTTGGATTAAGGATGGATACAATAACGTCTGCAAAAACGCTACACACAGATCAATAGGTTATCAGCGTTGTTTGATTCCACTGCATATGTCTTCGGGACCTCTGTCGGAATTCGAAACTTATCGTTGCAAAAGCAACACCACACATCAAACCATATATGCAATCTTTCAAAATGTCTTGATAAGGATTTGCAATTATATGAGACATTGCACGGGTAATCTCTTTCTCGTGATTTAATTCAGAAATACTTATGTGTTTTTAAGTTAATTCTGAAACGCCCACATATTTCCCTCTCCGAACTTTTATAATCGGGTTCATGACCACTTCAGGATGTAATTCAGTATGAGAGGGGCGTTTAACCACTTCGTAACTGTGCCTGACAAAAGAGCGTCCGAAGAAATTTGATATATCGCTTATTGTTTCCTTTCTATTTAACAGTTCCCACATCTTGTTTCATCAAGCTTCGGACCTATCCTCATAGAACGTAGATCTTTTATAATCAGGTTCGTGACTGCCGTTTAAGCACTTCGTAGCTGTGCCTGACAAAAGAGCGTCCGTAGAAATGTGATATATCGCTTATTGTTTCCTTTCTATTTGACAGTTCCCACATCTTGTTTCATCAAGCTTCGGACCTATCCTCATAGAACGTAGATCTTTTATAATCAGGTTCATGACTGCCGTTTAAGCACTTCGTAGCTGTGCCTGACAAAAGAGCGTCCGTACAAATTTGATATATCGCTGGTTTCCTTTCTATTTCACAGTTCCCATTACATCATGCCTCACACTTATACGATGCCTTTTTCAGCAAGTTCAGCTCTTACCATGGCGAGATAATCAGGATCGGGATAGCCAAAGTTTGTTCTGAAAGAAGCAATTATACTCGTGCGCAGTTCAGTAATAAACAAATAATTGCAATGTATAGGATGAAATATCAAATAGAAATTAAACCATAAATAAATGAGTCCTGGATTTGCTGAAGTGAAGATTTCCCATGTTAAACATTTTCATGAGGCCATACATCAGTATGCAAAATGTAAAATATACACATTTTAGTGGATATGCATCGAGACTGTCAACATCGGAAACTATGGGCTTAATTCAAACCACCATGGTTTTGAAATGGTGATCGATAATTCGACAACTCATCTATTTTATATGGTCCTTATTGTAGGTATATATTTGTTTTGTCCCATCAACAATGAGTAAAGAGAATAAAGAAACCTCACCCCGTACTCTGGGGGTAAAAATTGTACATGTTGTTTTCTTTTAAAGAAACAGTATCATACCATTGGAAAGCATACTTTCACTTTGGTAGATCTGACGAATTAAACCTAACGTGTAGCACTATGTAGTAGGTGTCATGTAAACCTAGATTAAACTGATTGTATTGAATTTTAGTACGCAGAATAGCTCCAAATTGGTTCAACCACTGGGAAGATGACACACTAATGGATAATGGAATGAAGATACATACGGTCCTCCATATATCTTTGTCTTGTGGTGGATATTCCACGTTACCACGTCATCAGTACCATGTGTTCTTGATTGACCAATGGTGAAAATCAGACGTGCATCAAAGGCTTTCTTTAAAAGTGCAAGGATCTCCTTTCCCTCCTTGTTATCTGGCAGATAAGCTGTCCAGATGACTCCACGATAATTCTTTCCCGGGGATGGGTGAATAGACTGAAACAAAATCATACAATAGATCATCATACAATTAATAACATTGCGATATATATCAACTTCAATATGAAAGAGATACTTATAAAACCAATATTTTTCACAAAAACAATATATCATGAACTGCTAACTTCAAACACGATGTAATATAGTTTCCGCGATAATGCTGACGAGGAATTCCAACAATAAAAATAGTCCTACCTCTTGTGTTCCGTTGGGTATGGAGTAGATTATTTCAATATGGCCACACCCATCATACCCAGGTAGTGACGTATACATTTTACGTGAAGTCATAGTCCCTCCTTTTGGCTGGTCGCCCTTACGTTTACCGTACGATACCCCACATACGGGACATTGGGGTCTTGATCTCTTCATCCATCCATCGATGCAGTCCTTGCAGAATGAATGTCCACATTTCTCCAACGTCTTAGGTTTAACCTTTCTCTCTAAACAGATGATACACTTGTCGTCATCCTCGACGTTGTGAACTGTACACGAAACTCCACATACGGGACATTGGGGCCTTGATTTCTTCAACCATTCATCGATACAGTCCTTGCAGAATGAATGACCACATTTCTCCAGCATCTTGGGATTAATCATTCTCTCTAAGCAAATGATACACTTGTCTTCATCCTTGAGGTTGTCAACTGGTGTGTCTTTTTGATGACCTTTAGTACATATGACACAATTCCTCACAGATGGGTCTTTTGCTAAATAGTCCTTGCAGGAGTAGCAATACCAATGATTACAATTCATGCGCCATATTCCCTGAGTCCCATCTGTGCATTGCACGCATTGTGCTCTGGTGGCTCGTTTTTCAAGTGTACTTGCAGCTCTAGGACGTGCACCAGTCTCTTTACTTGGGACATTTGCAATTTTTTCATCTATGCAAGCAAAAACTATCCTATCATTGTAGAGCTTGCCTTTGCGGACGACCACTTTGATATTTGCATCAAAGTTGACATCCGGCACATTTGTCCATTGCTTGAGCTTAGAATCAATTTCTTGTGCCATGTTAGCAAGTTCTACATGATGACCATAGTCCTTTACAGTAGATAACTGGTTCATTGTACTTTCAATTAGGGTCTTCTGCAGCTCAAGATGCCCCAAGTGGGCTATTGTTTGCTTAGAGCATGTGTCTCTTTTCTCAGCAAAACGATCGATATTCTCTGTGTATATATCACGAATGTGTTGGATTGCCGCATTCATATCTTTAGTGAGTTCACATATAGCGTCATTGACCTCTGACTCCATTTGGTGTTTTGTTTTGTGAGTCTCACCGATGGCTGTTTCATAATGTTCAACCAAATCGTCCCCACACTTTAATAGCTTTTGAATTTGCTGAACATTTTCCTCCGCAGCTTCTTGTATATCAACACACTCGTGCCCTGAATGAGAGATGGCGTAACATGTAGCGCATACGACACACTTATCAACTTTACAATATATTTGCAAAGGAATATTGTGCTTGGGACAGTGAATTGTACGGTCTTTGACAGTTTTGAGCGCTCGTTGCATATCGTGAGACTTATCCCCGGTAAGGTCAACGGTTGTATGTCCTTGTATGAATCCATTATGACTGTCCATGCACGTCTTGCATAGGTATTTATTACATTCTAGACATTTAATGACCGCTTTGATGTATCCGTTTTTATTCACTTTGCACATTATACATTTGGGGGTATCATCTGTTTCGGCTGCATTGAAAATCTCCACTAAGGTTTTAGTCGTGAAATTGACGTTGAAACCATCGACGCCCTTTTCAGGCACGGGGTGTACCCGTCTACATTCCGGACATTTCACTGTATTTTCATCCGATTCCTTGGTTATAAGTTCTCCCAGACAGCCACAGCAATACGTATGCATACATGGTAACGCCTTGGGGTTATTTAAAACTTGATAACAGATTTTACAAGTCAGTGTTTCCTTTATTTGTTCCTCTATGACACCAGCCATGTTCGCTATCACTCGATTAGAGCCAATAAAACATTGCCTCGCCCGTAGCTGTGTGTTAAAATTGAAAACCTTTGAACCTAAAACCCGACTGTCAAACGTTTTTTGGACTTTGTATGATCAATAAAACATGTGAACGATTAGACCTCAATGACACTTCGGAGATATCGAATAATAGCTTGCTAGTTCGCAGAAGTCATTATATTACTGATTATTACCACCTTGCAGGGCCAGTTCTAGAGGTGTTTTAGTGCTAGTTTAGAGGGCATTCATTTGACTATATCGACCTGAGCAATATGTGACGCCATAATGGTGGTCCATAATGCCGGTCAATAATGCAATTAATGACCGGCAATTTTTCCCGGGAAATTAGATATCGTTCAGTGCTTAAGATTTTTTTGCTATTTCAGCCCTGGTCAATAACGGTGGTAATAATACTAATAACGTCATACTAATACCGTTATTTCCGCGGGCGTTCGGCCCTCGGTCTAATATTTCACTATATTGCCCTTCGAAATGACGTTATTGTACTATTAATTGGTGTAAAGTATTAAGAAAACAGGGTTCAGCAGTGATCCAAGTCAATGAAATACACTTCGAGTAGAATACAAACATTGCCATTCTACCACTTAAAATGCATAGGTCACTTGTACTACACTCGATTACGCTGTTAAAGAAACGGATTTGTTTCGGTAACAAGATGGCTTCTGTTCCGTTGTAAAAGAAACGATGGTCCCCTGGGGATTATGGTCCCCTTTCTTAAAGGCCCTTACTGGCCCTGATTGTGGATACGATAAGGGAAAGAGTTGTATTTGGGTCACCATATAAATCAATGGAAAGTAGGACCATAATTTGATAGGACCTCCTACCCTTTTATACCGGTCTGATCAGCCTTTGAAACTCCCAATTTTTCTCCTGTTTTCAGTAAACCCGAATTTTTATCGTACCTGAAAAAAGGTCAAAGCCATCAATCCAGGTCACAAAACATAATTTTCTGAGAGTACAAATTAATATTTTGGACTGATATGCAGAGTATACATATATTTCAATTTCAATACAGATTGAAATCGGAAAGCAAATGATTAATCAATACCCTACCCCTATATTGAGCCCGTGTTTATACAGTCAAACCTGTCTTAGTGAACGCCTTTCTCTAGCGAACACTTGTCTAGTAGATACACTCCCTCCCCACATGGACTTACACCCTCCCCACATGGACTAAATTACCTTCTCTGAAGCGAAACCTGTTTTAAGTGAACACCATTTCACCCACACATGCTCTACTACGTTTGTTTAAATTACCCTCTCTGAAGTGAACATCTGTCTCTAGTAGACACACTCCCTCCCCACATACTCTACTGACTTCTGTTTAAATTATCCTCTCTGTAGCGTCTAGTGAACACCTGTCTCTAGTAGACACACTCCCTTTATGAAGTATCAAGAACAGATTTTGGACACACTTTGGAGGATGAAGTTTAGAGATACATAATTTATTGTCAAGTTAAAGATCATCCACAACACTACCATGGATTATAACAAAAAAATCTTTTTTTACCTAAATAGTAAAAATATTTTGGATCAGAATTTCTAAATTAAAATTATACAATGTGGATATTATCAATGATTCCAAATCAAGAAATGGTCATGGTAATCCATAACAAAATTTTCCAACGATTTACATTACATAACGAATAAAATAATTTCCTGTTTCAAAAGGAGGCACAAAATAGTTTTACATGTAATACGATGTGAGAGATAAATGAGAGGCTAGAACAATTTGAAATTCTAATTTCATTCATGATTTTTTTATCAGTTACAAACTTGACTGAGTACAGTTCAAATATTATATTATACTATTGTTGCCATCTATTGTACCAAAAACAATCAATATATGCAGATAACTATAATCCAAAACAGGTGAGGTTAGGTTAAAAAGGTGAGGCAAAACTGATGTAAAAATTTGCAAAATCTCTCAAATTTTTCAATTTTCCTTCAATTTGAATCCAGGTGCCAATATGCTGTTTTCTCCAGACTGCATAACATATTAATCTCTAATATTAAAAGAAAGTAAATTCTCATTGTAATGAAAAGAAATGCTTATCAATGAAACATTTTTCTCCATGCCATCATTGAAACTGGGCATTGGAAGCAAGAGTATCATACTAAGGGGCCTTCCAATTCAAATACCAGCAATTTCATGATTTTTCTTTAAACTTGATGTAACCTCCAAATAATCAAATATTGTATCTAATATCTGTCTGCATTTCTGACATCTTAATAAATCAACCATTTCATGTCTTTATTCACAAGAAGTTGTATGAGTATCTCATTGAGAGGCCTTTTAATTCAAAGACAAGTAATTTCATGATTTTTCTTACTCTTAATGTAACCTCTAATATACAAATACACATGTATCAAATATTGATCTGCATTTCTGACATCTTAACAAATTAACCAATTCAATTCTTTTAGTCACTAGAAGATCTGTAAATGTCTCAGTAAGGGGCCTTTCAATCTAAAAACAGACAAGCGACAGTATGCTTGCTTTTTCAGACTAAACAATGGGTAGAAAAAATATATTCTCTCTCCAAAATATCATTCAATGAAACATTTTTGTCTATTAGCCATCAATGGAAGCTCGAGTAAATGTCTTGCCAAAGGGCCTTCCAATTTGAATCCAGGGGCACACGTGAACCCCCCCCCCCCCACCCCTTGGCAAATCCTGGCTACGACGGGCCTGACAAACATAAGGCAATCTAAGATCCTTAAGGTTCAGCTGGAAAGGAACATTTTGGTAAAAATTGCTATACCTGCACATGTTATTTTCTGGTAAGGAAAGTATCATTACATTATCTTCTTTTAGTATATCTGGTAAGAGTTCAATGAGAACTCTGGGAAATTCTGATATTTCACACTTTCTATTTTTCAACAGTTCTTTCACAGTTTCCAGACAACACAGGAGCTACCATTGACCTGTTTCCAGGTTTACTAAAAGTAGACAATGTATTGATACTTTCCTGAAAAAAGCAAGGAAATACACACATGCCTTCATACTTTATTTTGTACCAGAAAATAAATGTGCAGGTATAGCAATTTTTACCAAAATGTTCCTTTCCAGCTGAACCTTAAGGTAAGACTGCATGTTCGGAATTTTGCTGCAATCCTCAATTGATTCACATGCTATTTTTCAAATGGAAATCACTCCTTCTCAACATTGTCTTCAGCTTTCAGTTTAGCACAGAGAGTGTTCTTATGATGTGCCTAGAGAAGACTGTATTGACGATTTTTGTAAAATGTATCAAAACGAGAAAATCCCGTGAGAAATTCCTTGAGAAAATGCTGTGACCTTCTGTCAATTTTCTCATTTTCTATACATTTTACAAAACAAATCTACTCACCAGTCTTTTCTAGGTTCATTAATTTAGTACACTCTTTGTTTGTGCAAAGCTGAAAGATGTAGACAATGTGGGGAAGGAGGGGAAGGAGTGATTCCTATTTGAAAACAAGTGACTCAATTGAGCAATGCAGCAAAATTCCGAACATGCAGACTAACCTTCATCTTTTAAGGCAATCTAAGATCCATACTGGAGCGAAAATGTTTAAGTGTGATGTTTCTTCAAAGACATTTAACCAAAAACATTCCCTTTTGACTCATTCTAAGATCCATTCTGGAAAGAGGGATTTCAACTGTGATGTTTGTTTTAAGACATTTATCACAAGCTCTAACCTGATTAGACATAAGAAAATTCATACTGGGGAGAGGATTT